ATGAGGCGCGTGGGGCGTTGTGACACCCATTGGACAAAGCTCGATCCCTTGTATATACCATTTCGTTAGCACTTGGAGTCCTGTGGCGAAGCCCAAATTCCCTCCATCCCCAAGTGGCGTGCCATGCTTTCGCTTGCTGCCGCCATTTGACCTGCAGCCCCCCGGTGGTTTCTACCTTGCACCGCCGCCCCACAACACGACCCAGCTCTGTAGCCAGCCACGAATCCGTGTGTGTATGTCTGTTAGTACGAGCGTGCGTGCGTGCGTATGTGCGTATGTGCGTGTGTGCGTGCGTGTGTGTGTGTGTGTGTGTGTGTGTGTGTGCGTGTGTGTGTGCTGGGGTTGATTTTCTATTTCTGCCCTTGTGCTTTGTCATGCTTCCACCTCCTACACTATATTGCCCCCTCCCCCACTTCTGCTCTCCTCTCATCCTCACAATGTGCGCACAACTGGTGCTTGCAGACACGCCCGGTGGCTGTGCGACTGCTGCTGGCGGTATCCCTCTGCCGTGGACGCTTTGCTGCCTATGAGCAGCTGCTCCTGCGCGATGATGTGGTGAGACCGCCACACCACGCGTGGTGGAACGTTGCGCCTCACTTGAACAAAACACGCTCGGCATACACAAGCTTGCAGCACTCGCGTATACACACACACTCACACACACACACACTCACACACACACACACTCACACACACACACACACTCACACACACTCACACACAACCACATACATTCACGTTCGCATTCCCGTACACGTGCATGTTCTGTTCTCTTGTGTGATAACACCTGTTGTTTGCACTCAACCATCCCTGCCCTCGCCCGCCGCCACCCCTCTCAGGCGGATGACGTGTTGCTGCAACTGCATCGCGTGTGTCTGTTCTTGCGCAAATGCGACACTGCCCGCGCAGAAAAGGCCCTACACAAAATTATCGGTGCGTGTGTGTGTGTGTGTGTGTGTGTGTGTGTGTGTGTGCTTGCCGCATCTGGATGTAGCGATTGAATGTCTGCGTCCGTGTCTGTGATTCAGTGCACATGGCCGTCTCAACCTTTACACGACACAGTCATGCATGAGCGAGCACGCGCGTGCAATGCTCACACCCCGAGCCATTCCTTGATTGCGCAGGTCAACAGAAGCAAAATGTGTTTCGACTCATGGCAATTCGTCTCACCGTTGTCATTCTCGCACGTGCGTACTTCAACCTCGTGCGTCGTGAGCATTGAACACACGTGCACATGTGTGCCTGCCATCGTGAAGCTGCCCGCAGCTCGTTGCCATACCCCTCGTCCCGCCCCTCCTCGCGTCACGAACGACCATCGCGACTGCAACACCCATCCCACTCACTTTCCATCCCTCTTAAAACATTCAATCACACACATACACACACACACACACACACGCACACACACACACACACACACACACACGCACACACACACACACACGCATACGCACACATGCACACACACACACACACACACACACACGCACACATGCACACACTTATCAACACCCCCACCACCTTTCACGCCTCATTGCTCCACACCACTGCGCCACGGCAGGGGAGGGCCGCTCTGCCAAGGTGCCGAAAGCGCTCAAGATTGGACTGGACAACGCGTGCAAACTCGATGCCGTGCTTAGCGCTGACAACGACAAGTGGCACACACCCTACAAGCGCAATAACAGTACCCCTGCCACTTCTGGTGGTGCTGGTGATGTTGACGATGGTGCCGGTGACGTTGGCCAGGTATTGCGTGGCGTGTTGCGCATTCCAACACTGCTGCCGTCACGCGAGAGGCCAGCCACTGTACAACGCCCCTCCGTTATCGTGTGCACATCATCACCACCGCCACCACGATCAGCAGCCACACCGCTGCCACCGCCACCACCAGCATCTTCGTCACCCTCGTCATCATCGTCCCGAGCACAATCCCCGACCGCGAGCACGCCAGCAGTGGCGAGCGTGTTTGACGGTGTGCACCTGCTTCTCCACCCAAGGGCAGCGGTGCGACGCGCGCACTTTGAACTGTGTGTGATTGCAGCCCGGACACACGTGCACAGGAGCGAGTATGCACAGGCGGCGGCCGCATACAAGCGCGCGCTCGTGTGGTCGCTGCGCCCGCGACGCAATCGCCGAAACAGCGGTGGTGCACATGCTGGTGATGATGATGATGGTGGTGGTGGTGGTGGTGGTGGTGGTGGTGGTGGTGGTGGTGGTGGTGGTGGTGGTGGTGGTGGTGGTGGTGGTGAAGGGCTGAGGTCAGCACACGATGGAGAGGGGTGTTCAACACCAAGTCCCACCTCTCCACCGTGTGGGTGCTGGCGGTTCGCCACTGCAACGAGTCTTCGAGACACGCTCGCTGCCGCCCGTCTCCCCTGGCCAACGCTGCTGGCTGATCGTGTGATTGCCGTAACAGTACCAGACGGCGGTGGCAATGGTGGTGGTGGTGGTGGTGGTGGTGGTGGGATGGATGTGTCTGTATTACACACGCTGGTTGGATGCCTGCGTTCACCGGCTGTGGCGGGCACGGACCGTGATGAAGGCAGCAACGATGGCGGTGATGGCAGTCATGAGCAACAGAGTACAAACGGACACGCAGATACAACAACAACAGCAGCAGAAGCAGCAACAGCAACATCGGTTGCATCGACGACACCAGCATCCCCATCACTGACGACCCCAATACATGAGCAGCAGGTGCTGTGTGAGCTGCTGTGTTTGCTGCTGGTGCACGGGGACGCGACGGACGACGCAGCTGCTGTGGTGCGCACGCTGGCGAAGGATGCTCTGCCACCCGCCATTGCACAGACCGTGCTCGGTGGTGATGGCGGCGGCGCAGTGCAGGCTGCAGGTATGGGGTCTTCAGCTGTTCATGGTCAGAAGGTGATGGATGTCGAGTTGCTGGATGCCTTCACGGTGGCCCTGCTCGTGTGTTTGGCCCACTCGTGCACAGGCGACGAGCCTGGTGATGGGGTCCAGCGTGCGCGCACGCGCGCATTGTGCTGGGAGCTGTGCTGCGCGACGTTGTTGCATCAAGCAGGTGTTGCACACAGCACACCGCTGCAGGCGACGGAGACACCAAACACGGGTACTCGGGCACACGGCACGTCGGCGAACGGCCAGCCGCAGCCGACGAAGCGTGCGAAGCGACAGCAGCACGGACCTGTGCATGGGCAAGGCGCAGGTACAGCTGCTGCTACGTGGCCCTCTGCTGTGGTGCTGCCGCTGCTGGAACACGTGGTGGTATCGTGGGCTGTCGATCTTGTTGAGAGCGGGGATGCAAAGCAGGCTGTGTTTCACTTGCAACGTGCAGGCCTCTACCTCTGCTCTCGCGGCACCATCCCACCTTTGTTTGCATCCGCCCTTGGGTTGTCTCAAGTCGCTGGTAAGTCTCTGTGTACATTTGTGCGTGTGTACATTTGTGCGTGTGTACATTTGTGTGCGTGCGGTGTGTGTGTGTGTACATTAGTGCGCGCGCGTGTGTGTGTGTGTGTGCGTGCGTGTGTGTGTATGTTAACGTACACATGCCTCGTGTGTGTTCTTTCCTTGTTATTGTCTTTGGGGTTTACTTCCTTGATCGTTCAGAGTAGCGTCGTGAGTGCTGTCCTCATGCCACACTTCTTCCTCGTCAACTCATGCCTGCGCTCAACGTACACTCACCATTTCTGCTCTTGCTTCACCTTCACGACCACCGCCTTCACCCCGCCCTTAAGCTGGCTATAATGCGCAAGGCAAACGCACGCTTGCACGTGTCGCTTCCAACAAGCCCCCGCAACCACACCAACAACAAGCACCAACACCACAACACAGACAGCGACTGCGGAGTTTGGTGGGCAAGCAGATCGCTGCGATTGTAGACAATTTGTAAACGATATCACGCAATTTTCGGCAACACCCGGAACGTGATGAGGGTGCTGGTGTTGGTGTGTGTTGTGATTGGGGTTGTGTGTGCTGGCGGCAGTGCTGCTGCTACTGCTGTGCTTGACGATGCCGACATTTCATTCCAAATACACTCGTACAACGACCTGCGTCTCTGGCCACAAGTGCGTATACTTGTGTGACCGTATAATGTGAAGGTGAAGGTGACCTTGTGTAAACGTGAATGTGGCCGTGTGTAAACGTGAACGTGAGCATGAATATGGCCATGTTTGAAGGTGAATGTGCATGTGATCATGTGAAGATGAGTGATGTGTGGTCGTGACCATGAACGCGTTGGAGAACGTGAATGCTTGGTGGCAGCCTGATCGTGGTTGCCCCCTTGCTTCCTTTGTCCAACTCCTCTCCATCACCATCCCGCAACAACACTGACTGTGCTGTACGACAACAAATGTTTTGTTGTGACTGGCATGATGATGTGTGCGCGCCCGCATGAATCGCAGCTGATGAGGAAGAGCGCGACTTGGTTCAAGATTGACCCGCATTGGATGCCGCCAGAGTTTTGCAGATCCCAAGAACGCGTCACAAACACGACCGATGGCTGCTTCGTTCTGAATCACGATCGGCCGTCTGGGCGTCGCACAACTTACAACACAACAGATGACCTCCTATCTTTCTTTACCTCGCCCCTGTAAGTGATGATTATTCTTTTCGTTCGTTGTGTTTGTCATTGTGGGCCACCTTGTTGTGCTGTTTACGCCGCTTTTGTGTTCAGCATGTGTTTGCACAATGGCTGTTGCTGCTGCTCATCTCGTCGTTCTCATCCGACTCCAAACTGGCCGTGCCCGTCTTTGCTTTGCTTGGCTTGGGATCACAGTGTCAAGAGCTACTTCTCCTCGGGCCCAGAGAAGCATGTGGCCTTGTGCTTCAAGTGGGATAATGCTGTTGGACTCTGCAGCGACTTTCCGGCGGCAAAGCATTGGCGCGCACTTGCAGATGCGTTCTTCGACCGCGCGACACGTACGCAACTGCCACTTGTGTGCGTGTGAAGGAGAGGGCGAGGTCCGATTTCGCTTGTGTGTATGGTCGAGCTGAGATCTCGGCGCTGGTGGATTGTAATGCTG